GTTAACCAAAGAGCCAAGAGATCTTAGAGGGGCACATGTCTGCAACACACACACCAGCATTCGAATCTTTCAAACAACCAAGACTAAGCACACATGTGGTAATAGGATCAAAGTCAATTGAGAATCCTTTGAATCATTATCAAGAGACAAACTCCAATAGACTTGCAGAGAATGCGTAGCACAGGTTGCTGCCAAACAGTTAGTATTTTACCTGAATGACAGCAAGTGGTTCTTTGGTAATCTTGAGCAGGTCCTATGGCTTCTTGGTTGAGAAGTTGCTGACCCCAATAGCACGTACTTGGTCAGATGCATTATCCATATAAGCCCTCCATTGCTGCCTATGTCTCTGAAAGGCACAGAGGAGCCATGACTTGTGGATCCCAGCCTTGATTACCAAGCTTTGTATAAAATGGCCAGTCTATCTATAATTTGTAATGAAAAAGAAACCAAAATTGTTCCTCTTCTAAACTTCTTTTTAGTTGGAATAACATCCACATTGAGGAGTTCCCTGCAGTTACCAGCTGCATACCATGAAAAGCTTTCGAGCATTAGTGATAATATGGTGAGGAATGTTTTTTGATGAAAGAATACAAAAACAGAATGAAAATATTGAGGGCTGCAAGGACTGATGGGTCTGGGTCATTATTGGAAGCACCCTTAATAGGTATTGTGTGTGTGTATATGTATATAGTAAAAGGCAACATATTAAAACTCCAAAGACACTAATAAATATATTTAGACAAATATTCTTGGTTATTCTAATTAATATTTTTTTATTAACTGATTGGTAAGTTAATACAAATACTAAGCTGCAGCAAGATTCAGAGGTTTAACAGTGTAGTGTTTCATCCTTTTTTTAGTATATTGTTTATTTAAAATCTAAGACTATTGCATGAACAAGAGGCTTTAGGTATACTTCATAAAGATATAATTATAAATGGCAAGCTTTAACAAATTCCTCATCAACATTTCTGCAAAAGAAAGTTACTGATGTGCCACCATGATAACCCTCAACAAAAGTAAAAAAAAAAACTAAATAAATAAAAAGATTTACCTAAGAAACTATTCCACTGCCCCAGTTTAAAAATAAAATATTTACTTTTATGAATACTTATAAAAGCCTTAAGACATTTTTAAGATAATCTATAAAGAAAGCAAGGAGATTGGAAATAATAGAATTACCTTGCCTTTACCAGCAATTGCATAAACATCATTTTCCCTCAAGTTTAAGCACTTATTCCATCTTCCTGATAAGAGGCTTCTGCCTCTTATTTATTGGTTAGAGGGTTCTACACCTAAGGTTTTTTTTACCACTACATCTCTAAGCTTCTTTAATATGACATGTTGTCTGAACTTCTTCGACATGATATGTTTCAACAACTAAGCTGTCCTTTTAAATTGTTTAAAATCAAGAAAGATGATTGGTAAAATTGGTTTGTAATCATTTATTCTCTTCAGAATTTAATAATCCAAATTCTCAATGCTTTAACTAAGGCAATTGAAGCTCATATCACTAAGAAAGATTAAAAAATAATAATAATAATTAAATTAGGTTTTAGTCTCTATGTACAAAAAATAAAAACAAAACTTAGTAGCAACATTTAACTCAACTTAGATTTGCTACCAAGGTCATGAAAAGAGGTGGTTATGTTGCTTGAACAAATTTTCAATCTCATAGGTTTTAAATTAAAGTCAAAACAGATTTTTTCCTTTTTTATTCATTTCGATAAAGAGAACTAACAAATTAAGTGCACATACATTACAACAATACACCAAAACAGATTTCCTTGCAAGAAATTGCACATTAAAAACAAGTAATTTAAACTTTAATAGTTCAAAAAAAGAGGAAGTTCTTCATATAGGCCTTGGGTTTTGATTGTTCTTTCTATGAAAATATATGAAAACATCATCAAATAAGATTATGAAGAGAAATCATATCCGGAATTGAATCTATTAAATCCCAAATCTAATTACCTACCACCGAGTGCTTTTTCCATTGTGTTCAAATTGTCTTTGGTTCTCCCTAATTTTTTGCTTGGTAAATTTGATCACAGATTTTCATATGAAAGCTGATAAATAAAATTTATATTAAGAGTATCACAGAGTACTAACTCCTCATACCTAACTCACTGCGCACACAGGAAGAATTCATTTAAAAGGGAATCAAATTTACAAACTAAATTAAATTCTTGTTAGATGAAAACCCTAAATTATGGGAAAAAAATCCTTATCATGAGATTGAAACATAATCTTAAACCATCTACTATTTCCCAGTATATATTCCTAGTAATAAAACCATTACAACTCACACGGGCCACATGTGGAACAGTTGGTGTGGATGAGAAAGGTGCCACCTTCATTCCTCCGAATGAGAATACCCTCGGCTTGGACATCAGTGATCCAAATGGAGATGGATGTTTGCTTCAGAACCCGCTCCTCCGAAATGGATGAGCTTGCCAACGCCATTGGGATTCGTCGATTTGGATTTAATAGCAGAAAAATAGTTAACCCATCGATTGCTCCTGGAGCGTTAACTGAGCAAGTTTTTCGAAATACATATCTCGTTGACACTCAACATGCCGAGCAAGGGTGCATTTAGAGTGAGGACATTTAAGAGCCAGGTGATCTTTGCAAGGATGGCCACACCAATGACATTTCGGATAGGGATATTTCTCTCTCTGGAAATATATGAGACGTTGTTCATGAGAATCACATCTATTATTATCACAATCAGGAAGGATGCTACCGCGCTTGATGAATGGGTATTCTCCAAGAACGCAATCGGGATGAGCATCAAAATCGCACTCATCACACCGATTAAAGCACAGCTTTGGATCTCTTCTATCTTAACAGATTTCACACATGTGTTGAAATGGATCACCATCATTATCCTTGTAAGGATCTTCATAAGTGAGTTTTAAAGGGTGATGGTGGAACCCATGTTCAGCTGTAAGGGACCGTGTCAGGCGTCTGTAGTCCAAGGCAAATTTGCATTTCTCCTCTTCCTCTGCTAGCGTGCATTTTTAACCACCATATTTACCCATTTTCTTGCCGCAGCCACTACATAGTCCCTTCTCTCTTGTATTCTCCATCACAGAAGAGGGAATATTGAGCATGTGCTTCATGGGTAGTGATGAAAGGGATCTCGCTACATCTGAGGCAAATTTCCCTCCTAGAAAAATCAATTTCCCACTCGGAACAAAAACCGCTGCAGTCATACTCACAAAATTTACACATAAAAGCGCGCTTCATGCTGACTCGAAGAGGATCTCGGGAAGCCCAATGTGGTTTGTGCTTTCAAATTTGGGCACAGGCCTTGTGAAGGGAGGAATTACACTCTACTTGTGGACAACTGTAAGAGGCAGTCAAGATCGGTAATGCACACCCATTGCAACATTTTTTATCACCATTTGTAGTAATCTCCTCATTATCAAGCCTTAATTCATGCTCGTGGCTGAAATGATCTATCTTGTCTCCTAGCGCCACAGCACAACTTGAAGAAGCGTCATCATCACTTTCCGCATTTTCTGACTCAACTTCGATATAAAGAGGACCTTTATTCTTTTTTACGCAACTCCCATGAAGAATATAATTACAGTTCGAATGCAAACATTTGTAACTCCCATGCTCTGCCACCACCATTTTGAAACAAAATTAACAGGTCCATTTTTCACCCACTTTTTGTGGAAACCTGTAGTTGTGGCCAAGTATATGATGATTGTGCAGTTTGAATTTGATGAGTTTTGGCAGGA